TTCTGTTTATAGTATAAAAACTACCAACTACTAACATACAGTTCTCAAGTGTTTATAAATCACATCTCTTTAAAGACTTTTAAGCAACATTGTGTTATCTGAATTCATTACTTTATACAGAGCAAACAATCATCATCATCATCATCATCATCTATCATTGTATATGATCTGAAACTGGGAGGTTTTATAGCATTCCATAAAGCTCTTCCCACTTATTTAACCTCCAACACTATATTATTCACAGAGCAGACACTTTTTGTTTTCAATACTCACAATGGTTTGTTGACCTCAAAAAAGTCATAAATTTGCTGGGCTCGGTGGCTCAGCCTGTAATCCCGCGCCTTTGGGAGGCTGAGGTGAGTGGATTGCCTGAGCCCGCGGGTTCGAGACCCACCTGGGCAATGAGACCTCATCTCTACAATAGATAAAAAAATCAGCTGGGCGTGGTAGTGCGTGCCTGTAATTCCGGCTACTCGGACTACTGAGGCGGAAGGATTACCGGAGCCCAGCAGGTCGAGGCTGTGGTGGCTGGGAGCGGCCACTGCACTCCAGTCTGGGTGACAGAGTGAGACTCCAACTCAAAAAAAATCATAATAGTTGAAAGAGACCTGAAAGAACTTCCTGTTCAATTTACTCATTTTTCCAACTTTCTTTGTTGTGATAAAATATGCAAAACATAAAATTTAACATCAAAACCATTTTTAAGTGTATTAAGTACATTCATATTATTGCACAACCATCATCACCATCCATCTCCATAACTCTCTTCATCTTGCAAAATCGAACATCTATAACCATAAAATAGTAACTTTCCATTGCCTCCTTTCCCTAGCCATGGCAACCACTATTCTATTTTCTTTCTGTATTTATGAATGTAACTAGTCTAAGTACTTCATGTGAGTGGAATCTTACAGTATTTGTCATTTTGTAACTGACTTATTTCACTTAACTTAAAGTCCTGAAGGGTCATCCATCATCCATGTTGTAGGATTTCCTTCCTGTTTGACATTAAATGATATTCTTATAATATGTGCATACCACGTTTTGTTTGTCCATTCATCTATCAGTGGGCAGTTGGGTTGCTTCCACCTTTTGCCTATTATGAATTTGCTGCTATGGATATGGGTGTACAAATATCCATTTGACACCCCACTTTCATTTCTTTCTTTCTTTTTTTTTTGAGTTGGAGTCTTACTCTGTCGCCCAGACTGGAGCGCAGTGGCTGCTCCCGGCCACCACAGCCTCGACCTGCTGGGCTCCAGCGATCCTTCCGCCTCAGCCTTCCAAGTAGCTGGAACTACAGGCACATGCTACCATACCCGGCTAATTTTTTTTGATTTATTGTAGAGATGAGGTCTCACCAAGTTGCCGAGGCGATCTCGAACCCGCGGGCTCAGGCAATCCACTCACCTCAGCCTCCCAAGGCGCGGGATTACAGGCTGAGCCACCGAGCCCTGCCACTTTCATTTCTTTTGAGTATGTGCCCAGAAGTGGAATTGCTGAATCATATGATAATTCTATTTTAATTTTTTGAGAACTGCCAAATTGTTTCCCATATCAGCTACAGTGTTTTGCGTTCCACCAACAGTACACAGGTTTCCAGTTTCCTTGCATCCTCACCAATATTTACTATTTTCTGTTATTTTGATAGTCACCATCCTAATGGGTGTGAGTTGGTATCTCATTGTGCCAGTCTCCTCACCTTATAGAGTAAGAACCTGATGAGAGAAATTATTTGTTTACATGCAGAAGCAGACCAGTTTGCTGAATGACTCTTCATTCAATGTCTAGTTCTCCAAAGGGTTGGCTTATTGAATAACAGATTTAGTTGAGGTGATTCTTGTTAACTTTGCCATATTTTGCTCATTGATATTCACCAGATTGCTTCACTAGAATCTTGTCTTTATTACCTACTTACAAATACACATAGGCAATTGGATTGTTTGAGATGGTTTCAACACCTTTTGAAATTTTCTTTAAAGTTTTATTTGGTGTTAATTTTATTGCAACCATTTCATCCCAGCTGTTGATTTGTCACTCCATTTCTGTGGTATGTAAGTTTCATATTTTATTTTATTTTATTCTATTCTATTCTATTTTATTTTATTTTTTGGGTTGGAGTCTCACTCTGTCGCCCAGGCTGAAGTGCAGTGGCACCCTCACGGCCACCGCAGCCTCAACCTACTGGGCTCAACCTACTAGGCTCAACCTTCCATCTCAGCCTTCCAAGTAGCTGGAACTATAGGCACACACCACCAGACCTGGCTAATTTTTTTATTTATTGTAGAGATGAGATCTCACCAAGTTGCCCAGGCTGGTCTCGAACCCCTACGCATAGACAATCATCTCGCCTCCACCACCCAAAGTGCTGGGATTACCTGCGTGAGCCACTGTACCCATCCAAGTTTCATATTTTAGACTCCAATCACTTCTCAAATGATTAAAACACATACAAATAATAATCTAATTTGAGCTGGTCAGCTAACTCATATATTTAGGGCAGTACTAAAGACAGTGGAATAGACTGAAAATGTTTTGAGGCCGGGCTCAGTGGCTCAGCCTGCAATCCCAGCACTGTGGGAGACTGAGGCAAGTGGATTGCCTGAGCCCACAGGTTCCAGACTAGCCTGGCAATTTGGCAAGACCTCGTTTCTACAATAAATCAAAAATTAGCCGGGCACAGTAGTGCGCACCTGTAGTTCCGGCTACTTGGAAGGCTGGGGTGGAAGGATTGCTGGAACCCAGTAGGTCAACGCTGGGGTGGCCGTGAGTATTCTACTGTGCTCCAGCCTGGGCAGCAGAGTAAGACTCTAACTCAAAAAAAAAAAGTTTTGAAATATAGAATTATGCCCAGGACATCCAAAAAATATACACATTTATATATATTTCAGTATACATAAGAAATTCTGGTTCTCCAAAATCATAATCCCAAGTAAAGTCTCAAGTGCACTGAAATTTGGTAGTGTCAAACTGTACCCAGCCGGGTGCAGTGGCTCATGCCTATAATCCCAGTGCTTTGGGAGGCTAAGATGAGAAGATTGCTTGAGCCCAGGAGTTCGAGACCAGCCTAGGCAACATAGCAAGACCTCATCTCTACAAAAAACTAAAAAATTAGCCGAGTGTGATGGTGTGTACCTCTAGTCCCAGCTACTCGGGAGGATGAGCCAGAAGGATTGCCTGGGACCAGAAGGTTGAGACTGCAGTGAGCCAGGATTGTGCCCCTGTACTGTAGCCTGGGTGAGAGAGTAAGACCCTGACACACACACACACACACACACACACACACACACACAAACACAAACATACACACATATGTGCATGCGTGGGAAAAAGCTAACAAAAGTAAATACTTCAAATGAGTGAACAGAGACAATTACAAAAACTATCTTAGCTAAAGGAATTACCGTTCTGTCTTATTCTCATCTATCCTTTCTAAAACAAATTGCTATAATTTTTAAGTAAACATTTTTTTGTCAATCAGTAAAAGAGTAAACTCAGCAAACTGGCAATTTGGAGGATTGATCAAACTGACTATGTAAAATGGACTGAGAGTCTTACCTGCATATGTAAAATGACATTAAAATAGTGGCAGAACCCAGGATGAAGCTTACATCTTCTGATCAGTAATCAGTGTTTTTTTCTGTTACTTCATACTTTATCAATTTGAGACATGAGAAAGATGGGGATCCAGGGCAATGAAAATATACCTATAATCCTTACACATCGGGAGACTGAGGCAGGAGGATTGCTTGAGATCTGGAGTTCGAGTCCAACCTAGGCAACGTAGTGAAACCTCATCTCTACAAAAAATAAAAAAATTAGCCAGGTGTGGTGGTGTGTGCCTGTAGTCCCTGCTACTTGGGAGGCTGAGGCCTGAGGGTCGTTTGAGGCCAGGAAGTCAAGACTGTGACCTTGCCACTGTACTGCAACTTGGGTGAGTGACAGAGTGAGATCTTGACTGTACTCCAGCCTGGGTTACAGAGTAAGACTCCAACTCAAAAAAAAAAAAAAAAAAAAAAGCCAGCTTGGTGGCTTATGCCTGTAATCCCAGCACTTTGGAAGGCTGAGGCAGAAGACTTGCCTAAGCCCAGCAGGTTGAGGCTGCTATGGCCGTGAACGTGCCATTGTACTCCAGCCTGAGACTCTGACTCACACACACACACACACACACACACAAAAAAAATTGAAGGAAGAAAGAAAAAAAATGAAAGCAAGAAAAAAAACATATGCAGTAAAGTTAAATGAAGACTGATTTTCCTTCTCGAAATGATATATATGATATAATAATTAATCAAATCCTTTGGGAAAAGATGTCAGGATACTAGTTGAGAGGACTTGGTTAAATCACACATTTTGTATATAAGAGTACCAGGACCTACTCTAGATAGATAGATAGTTGGGCAAATACGTTATAGTGTAGTAAAATGTTAATAGTAGATGCGGGATGGTAGATATATACAGATGTTTAATATAAAGTTCTTTCAACTCTTTTATATTTGAAAATTTTCATAATAAATGTTAGGGAAAACCTTGAATTTTAGACCTAGCTCTATTATTTAATAGTAGTATGTTCTTTGAAAAAAGTCCTTAATCTCGCTTCAGAAATCATATAATCTGCCTTGTCTACTTTAAATGTTGTAAGGACCAAATAATAGAATCTATAGGAATGTATTCTGTACTGTAAGCAAAGTGATAAAATAGTGCTATTTTTTCCCCCTTTTGGTGATCTTGGTAGCTATTATGAGTACAGTATTATGCTTGATGAGTTTTTGCTTAGTGAAGCTATTGGAGGAGGAAGAGTTAGGTCGGTACGAAGAGGGGAAGAGAATGTTCTACTTCATTTACTCTTAATGAGAAAAAAGCCTCCCACATAGCTGTTACCTCTCCTACACGTAGACAGTTGGGGTACTAGTTGTCTTTGAAAGCCATTGTCTATAAAGAAGAAGGCAGAAAGAAAAGGTTAAAAACAAACACGTAAATCAGAATTCTTTCTCTTTCAGGAAGCAGTAGGGGACACATTAGAAGAACTGTGGATCTCCTACAATTTTATTGAGAAGTTGAAAGGGATCCATGTAATGAAGAAATTAAAGATTCTCTACATGTCTAATAACCTGGTAAAAGACTGGGGTAAGCTGAGAGTGGCTCTTTGCTAACCTTCTACTTGTTTATAGAAAATAGCCCAGTAGGGAAAAAGATACACATGGGAACATTTATTTCTGAGCTCAGAGAGAAATAGCTATAGGAGTTCCTAAATTTTAAATGCCTAAAATTTATATTTAATTATTTACTTAGGATATTTATTTAGAATGAATATGACTGGATAGGTCTTGGTCCTATTAATCATGAAAAAATTTAAGATATTGTTCAAAGGCTGAAGGAATCAATTTACATTTAATTTTTCATGGATAGAAGACTTATTTGATATCTATATTGCTTTGCTTTTTATTGTATGTTACTCATTCAGTTATATGCCATGAACTTTGTCAGACTCTTTTTTTTCCCTCGAGTTTTCTTATTTTATTTATTATAGAGATGTGGATTACAAGTGAGGGTTAACTACATAAGTAGGGTGCATGCAGGTGAAGTTTGGGCTTTCAACAGGCCCTCACTCACCCTGGTTATAGACCAGGTACCCTTTGTGTTGTCACCTGCCCCTGCCCTCCTCCCTCCCTCCCTTTCCTAGCAGTGCCCAGTGACTGCCTCCCTTGTGCTAATGTGACTAATGTTTAGGGCCCACTTATAAGTGAGAACATGGGTATTCAGTTCTTTGTTTCTGTGACAGTTGATGCCAGGCTTTTGAGATACATAGTTGAATAGGACACTATGGCTGCACTCAAGGAGTTCAAGGCTTAGTGGTAAAAATTGGTTTACAAGTTAATAATTATAAAACTGGATGATAAGTTCTGCATTGGGGATTTGAATGGGTTTCTTCAAGGAGTCACAGATGAGAGAATGGGTAGAGACAAGACAACTTAGTTCAGCCTGCACTGAGCAGCACAGCGTGGAGAAGACCTGTCACTGGAGCCCGACTTGTTCCTTTTGACTGTGAACCTCATCTCCTCTTCTTATTCCATCCTTAGGCTAGCAGCTAAGGTAGAATGTCTTCCTAGAATGACTTCAAGTTATAACTTCCCTAACTTCCTTCAACATTTTAAATAACTAATTGTCCTGAATTGTCACAAACTGAGGGTTAGTTGTGCTAGAATTTAATCCCCAAAATTGTCACAGTAAAACGTGCCATTTTAATATGGAAAATACTCTGAACTTGTAGCTGAATTTGTGAAGCTGGCAGAGCTGCCTTGCCTGGAGGACCTGGTGTTTGTAGGCAATCCCTTGGAAGAGAAACATTCTGCTGAGAGCAACTGGATTGAAGAGGCAACCAAGAGAGTGCCCAAACTGAAAAAGCTGGATGGTGAGTGACTCTAAGATGGCCTTGAAGCTTGGGTTTTCTAAGTATAAAAATTGAATCTGTGGCATGGAATCATGAAGAAGAGAAAACTAAATAAAATGATTGTCTCTAATCTTGGCAGTCATTTCTGACCATACGAAATTTAATTGTCCAGGTTTGGGCCAGGGTGGGATGAAAAACTCCTAGAATATTTAGACTGGTACAAGACCACTCCTAATCAAAAGTTTGTAAGAAAGCTAGGCCTTATAAATATTTGTGCGGCCAGTTGTGGTGGTACATACCAGTTGCTTGAGAAGCAGGAGGATTGCATGAACCCAGGAGTTTGAGTCTAGCCTGTACAACATAGCAAGACCCCATTTTGAAAAACAAAACAAAGCAAAAAAACTTAAAAATATATGTATATGCAGGGATTGCTTGCCATCCACAATAAGTTGGGATGTCTATTGAAGTACAACCCAATGTGTAACAGCCCTAGTTTCTTTCATTCATTCATCTATTCAACAGATACTTAGTAAGCAACTACTTATTATACTTGGCATGCCACTGAAGATAAAAAATGATGATTAGAATAGTGTTTGTCACCAAGAAGATTATAATCCTATTGGGGGGGATAAAAAATATAACAACTAACTACACAATATCCTCCTAAAAATATCCTTCTAGTCTGGGAAGAATCACTATCCCCCTCCTCCACATCATTCTGTGTTTTCTCATAAACCATGTCTTTTTAGTAGTCTTCATATGCTTTTCATAGACAAAAGCCAATAAGTGTTAACGTTCAGTTTCTGTTTTCCATACTGAAGCAGTGTTGCACAGAGGATACAATTTGTGACTCCTAGTTACAAATTGTATATTCTTGAAGCTGGATATGGTAGTGCACACATATAGTCCCAGTTACTTGGGAGGCTGAGGCAGGAGGATCCCCTTGAGCCCAGGAGTTTGAGACCAGTCTGAGCAACATTGTGAGACCTCATCTCTGGAAAAAAAAAGAATTATGTATTTATTATTTCCTGACATAAATTTCCTGCTGATAGGTTGACTTAAAACTGGAATTATTCAGGGTTTGGTACTGAGCCTTCCTCCTTTCTCATTCTTCCCTCAGTCACAAAGAGGTCACACATTCAAGCAACAAGCGAGAAAGACCCTAACTTCCTGACAGCACAGAGTTGCATGATTATCTACTACTTACTTGGACTTTTATGTAAAAGAAAAATAAACTTCTAGCTCATTTAAGCCAGTTTAAAAAAACAAGCAAGCAAGCTGGACTTATCTTCAAGTCATAAATGTATTATTTTGCAGAATAATTAGACATAAATGGTAAGCAGTTGCTTAAGAGTTGGATTGAAATAGTGGTGTTCTTGCTCATTTTCTCTCCTCCACAATCATTTTTAGTTTCCCAATATGTGAGGTCAGTGTCAATGTCAGTAGATATCCCTGACGGTCAAGTCCCAGATTCACCACTTAATAGCTTTGATGACATTGTGCTAATTAATTGATCTCACCAAACTTTGTTATCTTTACAACTGGAGATGGCCAGACTCGGTGGCTCAGCCTGTAATTCCAGCGCTTTGGGAGGCTGAGGTGAGAGGATTGCCTGAGCCCGCGGGTTAGAGACCCGCCTGAGCAACTTGGCGAGACCTCATCTCTACAATAAATCAAAAAATTAGCCGGATGTGGTAGAGCGCACCTGTAGTTCCAGCTACTTGGAAGACTGAGGTGGAAGGATCGCCAGAGCCCAGCAGGTCGAGGCTGTGGTGGCTGGGAGCATGTCACTGCACTCCAGTCTGGGCGACAGAGTGAGACTCCAACTCAATAAAAAAAAAAAAAGACAGAAATAGTAAAGGTGTGCATGGAGAGAGCCTTCTGAGACGCAGAGAGACTCTTTGTGGGTGGGGAGTTATCTAGGAAGGCTTAACAGAGGAAAAAGTGGAGGGGTTTAACCAGTGAAACACAGAAAGAGTGGGATTTGGACAATGGGCTGGCATGACTGAAGGGATGGAGCTGCCCTTGTTTCATCATCGGATGCAGATTGTCATAACTGTTCTTCCTTTCTCGCAGGAGGGAGGGTTGTAAAGTAGTTTAAAACTGGAAAGTGTTGTGCAAAGTTATGTCCTCAATGGACACAAGAAGGAAGCTGTCCATGACGTTGCTCCATGAGCCACATCAGATGAGATCTAGTGGGAGTGACACACACAGTCATGACCTGACTAACTCCAGCTCTCTGAGCTTATTTCCTCATCTGTAAAATGGAGCAATATCACAACCTCACAGGGTCATTACCGCAGTTGTTGAGGTTAGCACAGTGCCTGGCACTTAGTAGGTGCTAGGGAACTAGGTGTCTGTTGTTTGTGTCTTTTTTGTTCTTTAAATTATCTCAGTGATGTGTTTCCAGATACACCCCCAAGCAAAATAGATCATTTCTCCTCCCAGGTTCCTACAGTCCTTAAGTATAGTCTACGTGAGACAGCAGGGTTTGGACCCTGGCTCCACCATTTACTGGCTGTTTGACCTTCAATAAATTACTTAATTGCTCTAGGCCTCTGTGTCTCATCTGTAAAAAGGGAGTGATAACTCTTACCTCATAGAATTATTGTGAGGTTTAAGTGGGATCATGTGTGTCTAGTACACTGCTTGGTACTAACTGTTGCAACAAGTTAGGCCCATGCTTGTGGAGTTCCTTGAAGGAATGTCTTACTCATTCTAGGTAGCCTCATATCCTTGTAGATAGCCTGGCACAGGGGAAGGTGCCACATTAGTCACCTCTTCTAGACTTCCTGTTTTTCCAGGAAATGTTGGGCAGAACTTGTTCTGAGTGACATCTAGTGACAAGTGACAGATGATGTCTAGTACCTTAGTTCCCTGTAGTTCATTCATCCTACAAATATTTCTCCCTTTTTTTTTTTTTTTTTGGTTGGGGTCTCACTCAGTCACCCAGGCTGTAGTGCAGAAGCACAGTCACAGCTCAATGCAGCCTCGAATTCCTGGGCTCAAGTGATCCTTCTGCCTCA